TAAAGTTCAAACTAATAAAAAAAGAGAAAAATCCTATAGAGGTAACTAAACTTGCGCTGGAACCCACTTTAGTCCATGTACTTCCAAATACCCAAAAGAGATAAATACACCCACGGTCACTGTAATTGTGTTGAAAGCACGATACGGTCACCCAACTTTGAAATACGCTTGTTACGGTCACTGAATACGATGGGACGTGAAAATACGGTCACTGTAGCGCGTATGCGATGCGTGCACGCAGTTTGACCATGTGCTGACCACTCATTGGGGACAGGTGGCGAACCGCCAAGGCACGTCAGTGGAAATATGCAAAAAAGCCCTCAGGCATCACCTCATCCCCCATTCATCCCTCCTCCACTCACGTCGCTTGTTTATCATTGGTTGGTGATGAAGCCATGTACCTAGGGTAGGGTCACGGACCTGTCCAAAGTACCCTACCCAAGGACATCTCTAGAAGAAACTACCTTTCAGTCGACCTGGAAGGATTCCACTCGACGGACTCGAAGACAGTCGACCATGAAGATTCACTCGACCACCAGAAGATCTAAGGTCACTCTACATCCAAACGGTATGTTATTAAGTAGTCTTTATGACCATGATATCACTTTATGTAAGGCGTTACCAGTAACGTCTGGCCTTTATGTACATTGAACTCTCTGCTATGTGGGCTGGCTGGAGTCCTGGCGCACTCTATATAAGCCACCCCCCTCCACAGGCAGAAGGGTTCGTACCCCTGTAACTCTCACGCATATAATCCAATCGACCGCCTCTGGGCACCGAGACGTAGGGATGTTAGTTCCTCCGAGAAGGGCCTGAACTCGTAAAACACTGGCGTGAACAACTACTCCATAGCTAGGATCTTGCCTCTCCTTTAGTACCCCCTACCTACTGTCAGACTTAGAACCATGAGAGTTGGAGAAAGGGGGCGCTGCATAGGTGACGCCGCCCCAGCGATCGTCGGCAGTACAACGGAGGAGACGACCCGATTTCGTGCATGGTTGACGAGGCACCACCTCCGCGTGCGTTCTTCCTGTGGGAGGCGGCGGCGATGTCCACTCTTCGTCATGCAGAAGGGGCAATGGACCCCGTGTAGTAAGTCCCGTAATCTGAAGTATCCAACTTTTTCGGCATTTTAATGTTGAAAACTCTCCTTTTCGGGGCGCATTATTGACTTACTAGATGTGTTGTAGTTGGTAGATAGGCCAGATTCTGCTAGGGTTTTGGCATGGGATTTGGGGGTACGAGAATTGGGGCTTAGGGTTTTAGATGTTTAAATGAAGGATTAATTAATACGCTTTTTCCTAAAGCAAGTTCGGATCTATGCCACTACAATTTTCATGAGTTGGAAATATGCCATTACAAAAGCTCAAGTTGGAAATATGCCACTACAACTTTCCTATACCTCTATACATGCCATTTTCTCAACTTAAACCAATAACGGTTCAAATAATACATGTATTCTGGTTTGTACCGACGTATTTACCATACTACACCTGTTTCCAACTTTCATCAGCACGTTTGGGACTTCCCGGCGCCAAAAAGTTCAAATAATTCAAATTTTGGCAAAAAAAATGAACTTCTCAGAAAAATCTGACAAAAAAACAGAAAATAATGAACAATATAATGAGCCTACTGTTCAAATCTGAGCCATTTCTGTGCACATATGGGTCCTTAAACTGACATGCAGATAATCTGGCCAGAAACTTCTACAACATTTCTCCTCAGTTTAACACAAATTAACAAGCACAATTCATATGGATTCATAAACAGGTTCACAATCATGATTTAATTGAGTAAATAGGTTCACAAGCACGATTTAGTAGAGTAAATAGGTTCACATAAATAGGTTCACAAGCACGACTTAATTTCGGCAGCCGCTAGCCACCAAGCCAATAAAGAAGGCTTCTTTTTGCACCATTTGTAGGCTGCCCTGCTAGAGGTGGAGGTATAACCGGCGCAAATGGAACATTCTTCTTGACTTTCTTCCCTTTAGATGTCTTCTTCTTGGCTTTCTCTTGTGATGCAACTTTCTTCACGGGGGTCTTCTTTTTGGTTTTCTGTTGTGTTGTAGCTTTCTTTGCAGGAGTCTTTTTCTTGGTCTTCTCTTCTACCGCAGCTATCTTCAGGTGTCTTCTTCTTGACTGGTGTATTGACCTTTTTAGGTGCCTTCGGCTTCTGTGGAGTTGTTCTAGCCCTTTTCCTGCATTGACAACATGTGTTTTAGATTGAGTAAT